CTAAGGCCGAGCTTTCATAATTAAGTCTTGCATTGGTCCAGTATTTCTTCCTGTTCCTCCTTTTGGAATGGTAATGTGTATTCTGTATGGTTGTATGTTGGAAGTATGTGATCTGATTTTTGATTTTGGTTTTATAGGGGGTTGCAGTTAAGAGATTGCCATGAGTCTCAGAAGAGACTTTGAACTTTAGACTTATAAACAGTGTGTTGAGACTGTGGTAGACTATGGGGACTTTTGAAGTTGCTCTGAATGCATTTTTGTATTATGCTGTGGCTACAAGCCTATGGAGATCTTGGAGAGGAATGTGGTGGTTTGAATATGAATGCCCTCCTAGGCTCATATATTTGAATATTTTGGCCACTGGGGAGTGGAACTGTTTGATAGGATTAGGAGAATTAGGAGGTATGGCCTTGTTGGAGGGTGGGCTTTGAGGTTTCAAAAGCCCATGCCAGCCCCCCCCCCACTCTGCCTGTGGCTCAGGTTGTAGCTAGGAGCTACTGCTCCAGAGCCATGCATGCCTCTATGCTTTCTGTCATGATGATAATGGACTAAACCTCTAAAACTGTCAGCAAGCCCCTAATTAAATACTTTCTAAGAATTGCCTTAGTCACTGTGTCTCTTCACAGCAATAAATTAATGACTAAGATGTCGGAGCCTGCTGCAAAGAGTCAGCTGGGTTACCTGAGTAGGGGTGTGAGGACTGAGAAATGGCAGATAAAGAAACAAAGACAGAACACAGGATAGATTCAGGAAGACTGCCCGGTGCATGCCTTTCAGCACACCGGGCAGCCCCAAGTTTAATTTAGATCTTGCTTATATACAGACTAGAGGCAAAGCAGAACAAAGAGCAGCATAATCAGTTAACCAGCTCCCTACACTGTCCTTGAATTGAGGAGCAGCCAGGCTCACTATCCATCATGTGGGTCCTACTAGCAGCAAGCAGCTTCATTCCTTATCTCTGTGTGCCAACAGCTGGCATCAGTAGCTCATTAGAGAGAGAATATACTCTATCCCATGGGCTTAATCAGAACTTTCTCATGGCTCTCAAGGAGACTAGAGCAAGCAAGCTTGAACTCTAATGTCTTATGAATCAGAATAGACTCCAGATGGAAACTGAGTCACTTGTGGGCTTCCACACTAAGGCATCCCTCCACCGCCCCCCCCCAATCAAAATTCACCTTTCCACTGACCTATTCCCTTAATTCTCTGCTTTCTGCTGTGCGGCAGCTAACTCTTCCAACACCTCAGCCCACGTGGCTTTTTAAAAATTGTATGTTTTATGCTTATTTCAACTAGCCATTCTAGGGATAGTAATGTGCACTGGGGATTGGTTAGGAAGATTCTATCAACAATATTCTGTAGTGATACAGCATTTCCTTCTCTGCATTCAGGTAATGGCAGCCCCCAAATCATGCCATGGTTCCACTTCATTCTAGACAGAATTGTTCAGGTTCGAATCACTGTAACTGAACAGAAAGGAAGATTACTATCTACTTTTGGAAACATTTTATTTCCTATTTTGTTTTGGGAGGACATAGCTGCATTTTCTCCACGAATACAGTCTTTTTCCAGCCTTCTCTACATAGCTCCCACCAGAATTTCTAGTTGCCTTTACTTTCACCTTAATTTCCTTCATCTTTCCACCCATTCCATCCCACTTTCAGTGATCTCATTTTGCTCACATTTTGTCAGTCTGTTGGGGATTTCATTTGGGGATTATTTTTATCCTACCCAAACACATAAACCATACTGGAGCCTGTCATTTGTCAGAAGGAGGTCTGAATCTGAAGCTAGAATAACATGTAGAATAATTTGAGTGGTATTTCAGCTTTGTTTTTCCACAGTAACTGAACTTTCTTCTCTATTTTTTTTCTAGTAAAGAACCCATTTGTCAGAATTTCCTGTTTCAAAGTTATCATCTCCTGTGATGGGGGCTTGTTATGTGAGTAGCCTGAGAGGAAAGACACATTTTATACTTTAAAACTAGATATCACTTAAGAACTATTTCTTTTTACCCCAAATTCTTTCCCTCCAAAAAAGGAAATAAACAATACTTAGTAGTAAATTCTGTGTTGTTTCTTTAACTACAACACCAGGTAGAGGAAGGGAGTTTTTCTACATTTTTGTTCCTAACAACAATGACAGCAACAAAAATTCAGTGTCCTTAGTGGCATCATAGATAGGGTAGACAGTTGTTTGAATAGTAGATATGGAAAGAAAAATAATAGTAAAAAGATACTGAGTTGATCAGATTTAAGAATGCCACATGTCCAACCCCATCTGTAGGAAGATCATCTTGAGCTCATAAGATGGCTCTGCAAGCATAAGTTTAAATCCCCAATGACCATGTAAGAAGTTGGCAATGGTGTGTGTACCAGCTCTGGGCAGGGGTAAAAGGCAGAGATAGGTGGATCCTGAGAGGCTGGGCCAGCCAGCCAGCTTAGCCAAAACAGGGGGCTTCAGTTCAATGAGACCCTGTCTCAAGGCAATAAAATGAAGAGCAATAGAAGAAAATACCTGGTCTGGGTGCTGCGCGCGCGCACACACACACACACACACACACCAAACAATAAAAGACATTCTTTCTTTGTAACCAACTCTAATCTTAAGTAAAGGTCTGAGAATCTGTAAAGTTGCATGGAGTTGAGGTGTCTGTTGATAGATCTGTGTAGTGTAATGGGTAATACTACCATTATTGTCAAGAAGAATAAGTACCCAAGAACTATTTACTGCCACAGAGGAAAGGATGTCTTAGCCAGTGTTCTGTTGCTGTGAAGAGACACCATGACCATGGTAGCTCTTATAAAAGAAAGCATGTATTGGGGCTGGCTTACAGTCTCATAGGTTTGGTCCATTCTCTTCTTTGTAGGGAGCATGGTGACATGTAGGCAGATGTGGTACTAGAGAAGAAGCAGAGAGTTCTACATCCAGATCCATGGACAGTAGGAACAGAAAGACAATGGGCCTGGCTTGGGCTTTTGAAACCCCAAAGTGCATTCCCACTGACACAGTTCCTCCAAAACACCACACACACACTATAACAAGGCCACAATTAATCCCTCTCAAGTAATACCTCTCCCTGATGACTAAGCATTCGAATATAAGAGTCCATGGGGACAATTCTTATCCAAACCACTACAAGGGATGTACCATATCTGCTGCTAGGAGCTAGAAAACAAAACAAGAAAAGAATATGAAGACTGGAGAGAGGATATACATTCAGCAAATCATCATCATTTATTAAAGAGGTTCAAGAGTGCACATGGTGCCAAAAGTAGGAACTGAATACATATGTGTATGTGTGTGCATACATACTCAGGAGGAACAGAACGAAGAATTACCTGCCCTTCTACCACCTCAGATGACAACACTGTTAATTTATGGCAGGCAACCTAAGTAGCAGCTTGTATTTAAAATTTATATACAAGCCTTCTGTAGCTGTTTAGGATTGCCTAAAGAGAACAAAAAGGATTTCTACTGCTACTGGCAGAGTTGCTGCCATAAAATTTATTCAAGATGATTCTGTCCATTATGATGTGAATAAATGCATTTATGAATTCAGATGTCTGTTTATGCAAGCAATCAAGTCCAGCGACTAAATACTGTCTTCCATATAAATCTATGCTTGGTATTTAGTAGGCTGTGTAACCTTGGATACTCATCTGCAAATTGAAGATAAATGGTCATGTTAGTAACCTGATAGGTTGAGATGAGAACTAAGTATTAACATTTAAAACACCTGGAAGAGCATTTGGTACAGAGGAAGTGCTCTTATCATTATTCTGGCTTTTAGACAACCTATAGGAAAAATTAGTCTCGAGTCTCATAGATGTAGAAGCATTTCTGTTAGATGTGTATCAAAGTTTATTAAGAAAAATGAGGGTGGGACTGGGGAGACAGTTCTGGAGAGATGGTTCAGCCAATTAGTGTTTGTTGTTCATGTTAGAGGACCAGGCTTCAGTTCTCATCACCCATGGGTGGTGCCTCACCCATGTATATCTACAGTTCTAGGAGATCTAATGCCTTCTTCTGACCTCCTCAGGCTCCACACACACATATGGTGCATATGCACACATTCAGATAAAACACTCATACATATGCATTAAAATTTAAATGTTTTAAAACCGTTTTAAAAAAGAGAAAAGCAAAGCCATCCAAGAAATTAGTATCACATTTATTATGTTCAGGGCTGAAGTTTTGGTCTTTTCCCGTTAGAATGTGACTTGGATTCTGTTGTTGTTAGGATGTAAATTAGTAAAAACCTATCAGTTTCTTTTTGAGGTAGAGTTTACTCTATGTAGCCTCAGCTATTCTGGAAATCACTCTGTAGACCAAGCTAGCCTCAACTCAGAAATCTGTTTGCCCCTGCCTTCCTCTTGCTAGGATTAAATGAGTGAGCAACCTCAAGGGACCCATTTTCAAAGGTTCAGTTGTCTCTTTACGTTATTGATTATTTTTTAAGAGTATATATTGTATCTTATTTCACCCAGTTGTGGCAAATTAAGAGATGGAAGAGTGGGAAGGATTGGCTGAAGCTTTGAAGTCGAAAACCGCAGATCACTAATTATTAGGCTTATCATCGATAACAATGTTTCGAACTTAGAATCACTTTGGAAGAAAACAAGAGTGTGCCTTCCTGAATTTCTTCATTAGGTAACTTAGACCCGCTATGATGTGAACATGAGCTGTGTATATCGTGTTACTTGGGCTTACCGTCGATCAAAATTTTAGGTGAAACTTGTGTGAAATTCCTTTTCATAAAGGAACCACGCTCCAGATCCACGCCCGGCCGAGAGGCGGAGCTGCAAAGCAACTCCTGGCCTGAAGGGTTACACTTAGGGTTGGGGTTGTGCAGTATGGTGGGTGAGCGCCAGACGCCACTGCGTGCAGCCTAGGATCGCCAAGGGACAGCCGAAGCCCGAGCGCTGCCGAGGACTGACAGGGACAGCCGAGTGTTTCCGAGGGCCGCCGAGCGCCGCCGAGCCTGGCCGAGGGCTGACTAGAGCAGTGCCTTGTACGCCCGCGCCATGGGTCCGGTGGCCCCGCTGGAGCTGCTGGAGCTGCTGAAGCAGCGCGCGGCCGAGCGCATTGATGAGGCGGCCGAGCGCCTGGGCGCGCTGAGCCGCGCCATCTGGAGCGCGCCGGAGCTGGCCTACGAGGAGCACCGCGCGCACCGAGAGCTCACGAGCTTCTTGGAGCGCGAGCCTCCGGCCAAGTCGTGGGCTGTGCAGCCGCACTTCGGGCTCGCCACCGCCTTCCGTGCCGAGTGGGCGCCGCCGGAGGCCGCGGCGGGGCCCGGCGCACTGCAGCTGGCCTTCCTGTGCGAGTATGACGCTCTGCCCGCCTTGGGCCACGCCTGCGGCCACAACCTCATAGCGGAGGTCGGGGTGGCCGCGGCGCTGGGCCTGCGCGCCGCGCTGGAGGCTGTCGCTGCTCCGCCTCCGGTCAAGGTGAGCCACGTCGGACCGCAGCGGGGTCTGGCGGGGCTGCGGACACAGCCCGGAGGACCAGATCAGTTGTTTTTGGTGGCAGACAGCTGCGGTTTGCTGACTAAGTCGTGCGATCTCTGGATGAAGTAAATTCTGTAGATTCAAAGATTTTGATTTGAGTAATTGGTATCGTAAATTTCAGTCTGTAGAGATACCAGACTACCAAACCTCTGCAAGAGTGGAAATAACGGAGAAGCGAATAAACATTTACTAGGTAGATGTGTTCATGGTTAAGTGCTAATCTTTATTTCACAACTACAAGAAGCGTCTCTGATCTTTAAGCAGAATGTCGTGCGTGTCCGTTTTGTGTTACTCTTCTCTCTTCTGTCACTCAGCCAGGTCCCCCCACACCCAGTGAAAGTAATCCTCTAAAACAGTTCATCTCTTGTGGCCCTTTCTCTTTAGCTAACTCCTCTTTTATGCCTCTGGGTTTTTGTTTTGTTTGGGAGGGTGTGAGATCCTGGACAGACTTAGAAAAAAGTTCTCAGCCGTCGACAATAACCCATTAGATTGAGAGAAGGGAGTAGTTCAATGGCCAGGCCTGGTGGAGCTCTAGGACAGTAGGGATTACATTGAGAGACCCTGTCTCCACGCCTGCTCCTCACCCCACCCCCACTTTTGCCCCCAGCAATTCAGTTTAAGAGTTTGGATAAATTTAAAAACAAGCACAGCCAGACTTTGAGAAATATGCCAACTTCAAGTGGTTATGGAATATAAATGGATTCCCTTTGCAAGTAAAGCCCCCCCTTCTTTTTTACCCCAGCTTGTTTTCATTGTATTTTTATACATGACCTTGATAGTACATTACTTTCATGCAGATAATTTTTCTTTGCTTTAAAAATTGCTTGAAGAAGTTAAGCTTAAATATCAAAGTAAAATGTTTATTCTGTAAAGTTCTCTTTTGTTTGATTAGGTGTTTGGTGACCATTAAATCTTCCTGGTTGAAACTGGTGGAATCGAATTAGTAAGTTTGTGAAATAGTTGGCGGTTTCTAACCATGGTACAGAGATTGTTTAACGCTCGTGGATGAAAGGTTAATGAGTTAGGACTTCTTAAGTGGTTTCTCAGTGAGGAATGAGAGTTCCAAGCTGAAGGCCTGGACAGCCCTCTAAGTTAACTGCAGCTCTGAACTCTTGCTCTGTAACTGGGGAGGCCCAAGCCTCCTTGATCTGGTACAGACTGCTCCCCTACCTCGCAGGGGTATTGTGAGGATCACAGGTCACGTGCAAGCTCCTTACCAGTAAAACTATGACTAACTATATACCTTTACCTGTCACATAGTATGCTAACAGGCTTAACGTGAAGAGACTTTAACGGAAAAGTCCTAGAAATGTTGAAGAACCTAAGTATATAGAATTCTACTTTTTTGTCTTTGTTATAACTTAGCTAGAATTGAGTTACAAAATTGGGGAAATTTTCCTATAGCATTTCTAGCATACATTTATACCAGATTACTGTAACAATACAAATTAAAATTTGTGATTCTGCACCATATATTTTTATTCACTGAATAAATGTTGAAGTTTAAGGGCTTAAGTATATGTTCTGAATGAGTATGTGCCAAAACCCGTTTTATGTTTTCCTGTTCAGAGTCTCTTTGTGCTAGCATATGTATTTCCTCGTAGGTCATTGTCCTGGGGACCCCTGCAGAAGAAGATGGTGGTGGCAAAATTGATTTAATTGAAGCAGGTGCTTTTAAAGACCTTGATGTTGTTTTTATGGCTCATCCATCTCAAGAGGATGCCGCCTATCTACTGGATGTGGCCGAGCATGAGTAAGTAATCATACTGAAGATAATTTCTGGGTGGACAGCAGACTGATGAGAACTCAGAGCTAGGGCGGTGAGACGGAGTGAGATGGTTTAGTGGGTAAAGGCACTTGTTATGTAGGCATGGGGACCCAAGTTCTTTCACCAGAGCCCATATCATATTGAGCAAACAGAGTTATCTACTGCATGCACACCCCACTCTCCATCATACACAGGCATGATTTAAAAAAGAAAAAGAAACTAAGCTGGACACTAAAACTCTGCATTTAGACATCTAAAAAGTGAAATGGCCTGTGCATGCTGCTACTCACCTATCATCTCATTGCTCAGGAGGATAAGGCAAGAGGAGTTTGAGTTTGAGTCAGTGTGGACTGTACAGCAGGACCCTGTGAACTGAATGGTATGATGTGACATTTGATTTACGTTGAATGACTTTTGGCAATCATGATTTGTTATTATGGTCACAATTGAACTATTGAAGGAATATTAAACAGGGATATTGAACTATAGCACAGATTCTCTTTGGTCTTAATAATAAAAAACCAGAGTCAGATATTGGAATTAATGCTGGAGATCAGAAAAGCAAAGCAGCCAGCCACTTGAGAGCTCTTACTTCCATCAATGCTCAGACCAAAGGGGAGATCCTTTCCTCAGATTGCATCCCCAGACTGCATCCTCAGACTGACTGCATCCTCAGACTGACTGCATCCTCAGAATACACTACTCCTCAGACTGCCTTCTGCCTAGACTGCTGCTCAGACTGCACTGAGCTCCTATCTCCTCCTACTTTATACTCCTCTCTCCACCCAGCCATATCACTCCTGTCTCTATCTCCCTAGTGCTGGGAATAAAGGCATAGTATCCCAAATTCTGGGATCACCTTTGTGTGAACTCTGTTTCTCCTTTAGCTAATTTCATGTGGGCCAAGGTAGCCTTGAACTCACAGAGATCCATCTGCCTCTGTTCCCAAGTGTTGGGATTAAAGGTGTGTGCCACCACTGCCTGGCCTCAATGGCTAACTGGTGTGGCTAGCTTTGCACTCTGATCCTCAGGCAAGGTTTATTTGTTAGATCATAAACAAAATATCGCCACATCAAACACTTGTGTTCTCTTTTGAATTGAGTTTGGTTTCTGGATAACACTTGTCCTTTCATAAGGATTGTCTTTACAAGGGACAGTTTTGTTAGACCTGGGAAGAAAGCACTTCTCCATACTATTTTTAGTTTGATTTTATGGAACTGGAGGTTACTCTTTTGTATCTAGAAGAATGTGTCATTGAACTGGTGTGGATTTTTAACCACAAATGACAGTGAGAGAAGTTGTGGTGTGTTTAGTGGTCCAGTCCCAATGAGCCACTGCTAGGCCGTGTCAGCTAATTTCTGTAGTGTTTGAGACTCTGGGGAGTGGTTATAGAACCATCCCTACAGTGTCGTTGTGCTCAGAAATTTCACCTCTTTGAGCCCCACAATACCTTGTTTCAAGGGTAGTGATTTTAATTGTTATATCTTCATTCTTGTCAATTTGGAATCGATATTGGGAGAGTAGAAACAATTCACTTTTTATGGGGTGGAGGTGGATATAGTTTTATCTGTTTATTTCAGGAAAATATTTGAGATTCCAAATCTTTGCTAGCACTTCTGGCCTGAGGGGTCCTGTAAGCTGTAGACAGGTTTCCAAGAGTTTTAGGATTAGGTTTAGGCCTCATTGGCTTGATCTTAAAGTCAATCTACTAGGTTCCACATACCCCACCCCCTCATTTATGGTCTGATATATATCTCAGGCTTTTGCCTGAAACTCACTATGTAGCTGATGTTGTGCTTGAACTACCAGTTCTTCAGCCTCTACTATCCCAGTGCTGGGATTGCAGGTGTGTATCTCCATATGTCTTGTGTATTTCTGGGGAATGAATGAACCTAAGACTTTATATATGCTAGATAAGTAAGCACTCTGTCATTTGAGCTATGTTCCCAGCCCAGCTTTGCTTTTTTGAGGCTAGCTTAGGTTAGCCTCAAATTTGCTATATGGCTGAGGATGACCTTGAACTTCTGATCCTCTTGCCTCCCAGTGCTGGGATTTCCAGTTTACACCACTATATGTGATTTTATGGAGTGTCAGAGATTGAGTCTTGGGCTGCATACATGATAGTCAAGCATTTTACCAACTGAACTACACCTTTGTGGTTTTATATACACAGAATTTTAAGAGTGTACTATGTATCTGAGTAAATAAAACTAGTTTTATATAGAACCACCCTACACACACACACAGACACACAGACACAGACACACAGACACACACATACATACACACACACAGACACACACACACATACACAACTAAGTGAATTCTTATTTTAGTGACAATGGAAGAAGTAATCTCTGATGATTTCTCCTTTTATTTTCTAGTGTTACTGTGAAATATTATGGAAAGGCATCTCATGCTGCTGCTTACCCTTGGGAGGGAGTCAATGCCTTAGATGCTGCAGTTCTTGCCTATAACAATCTCTCTGCATTAAGACAACAGATGAAACCAACCTGGAGACTTCATGGTATGCATGCAGAATATTTGTACAGTAAATGGTATTTCTATATCTTAGTGCAGTAAAATTATGTGATACTATATATGTATTGTTGGGGGTTGGAAGCCTGGTGTTGGTGGCACTTTAATTTCAGCACTCAGGAGGCAGAGGCAAATGGATCTCTGAGTTCAAAGTCAGCCTGGTCTACAGAGTGAGTTCCAGGATGGCCAGTGCTAAACAGAGAAACTGTCTCAGGAAAAATGAAAAACAGAAAACAATAATAAAAATTGGGGGTTGGGGATATAGTTCATTTAGTGGAATGCTTGCCTAGAATGGGTATGATTCCCAGCATTGCATAAAACCTGGCACATGTCACATACCTGTAATTCTAGTACTTCAAATCACAAGTTCATGATCATCCTCAACCACGTGTGAATTTGAGTGCAACCTAGGATAACTGAGATCCTTTCTCAAAAAAACAAAAACAAAAAACCCTCAAAAAACTAGTTTTATTTACTCAGATACATAGTACACTCTTAAAATTCTGTGTATATAAATATAGTAGTATAGTCTTTTCTTAGGGGTACACATTTCCTTTTTCCTAGTCTGGGATTGCAGGCATGAGCCACCACACTGATTTACAACCTACGTACTTCTTTCCCTTTCTCCATCTTCTCTCCTTCCCTCCCTCCTTTCTTCAGTTTCTTTATGATCTGGGAAATTGTACTTTAATCTCTACTTTTTTACTCAATATTGCTATATGCTAAAATTGTTTTGTAATTGTGTTTTTGTGAGTTTCTTGTCCTAATTATTTTGGTATGGGTAGCAGTTGGTTTGAGATAGGCTCTCACTATGTAGTCCAGGCTGCCCTTAAATTCAGGCAGTCATTTTGTGTCAGTATCCTGTGTGCGTCCAGCATACAGGCCTAACCCATCTTGCTGCTTGCCTTAATTTTATCAAAAGGGATTTTTAAATTAGGTGATGGGGAATTCAATTCTCTCTATATGTATGTATGTATATTTATAATATATATATATACACACACTTAAACATATGTATAAACATATACATATGTTTAAGATGAGGTCTCCTGTAGCCTAGGCTATAGACAAGGATTATCTTGAACCCATGATCTTCCTGCCTCCTTCTCAAGTGCTGGGATTATAGAGTTGTACAACTGACTGGAATTAGACACTATGTATCTGTTTTTGTTATAGGTAGAAACAAATAAACCTTCATTTTGTGTGGACCCCCCAAATGTGTGTTTTGATAGTTTGTAGTATTCAGGGGTCTTTGTTTGACTTTTTTCTGTACATGATTGTAGCCAAAAGGCTGAGAAGTATTTCTCCACTGCTAAATGTCATTTAAAATATTTGTAGGAGTTTTCAAATAGGATGGTAGTTATAGAACCTAATGCCATTGAAAAAAAAATTGTATCAGGTGTTTATCAAATTGCACAACTGTAACAAAGCCTACCAAGATAAGTGTCCTCCAGAAAGTGTAAGATACTACTGTTTGGTTTTGTGGTTATATAATTCTGTATTTCTTTATAATTTATATTATAATCTTTCCCTCTTCACCTCTTTTTTTTTTTCTTTCTCTACAGTTCTGGAAATTAAACCCAGACTCTAACACATGCTAGTCAAGTGCTCTGTTGTTGAACTTTTACCCTCAGCCCTAATTATAATTTCTTAACATTAAATATAGTCCTTAGAATAAAGTACATACAGACAGTTTTCCCTTATTAGCTGAGAAATAGGACCCCTCTGTGGAAATGTTGTATAGCATGTCAAAATCTTTGGTTTACCAGCGAAACTAATAAGTATAAATTAATTTTCCTGTTTGTACTGGCTGCAAAACTTTCTTTAAACAAGTCATTAAATTTAACTTCAGTGATTTGGTTCTTTTTATAGGTATAATAAAAAATGGTGGTGTGAAGCCCAATATCATCCCCTCTTACTCTGAATTAGTCTATTACTTCCGTGCACCCTCAATGAAAGAACTTCAAGTTTTGACCAAAAAGGCGGAAGATTCCTTCAGAGCTGCAGCTTTGGCTACGGGCTGCACAGTAAGAGTGTTTTGGAGCTCATTGTGATGGGTTACATGTGGCCATGGCTGTTTGTGTTGCTGCATTAAAGCCTACCCTGGTTCTTTTTTCACGTGGTAATTTGTTTGTGCCAGTCATGGTACCGGGGACCCGTCTAAGGGCCTTGCCCTCACTGCTGAAGTCTTGAATCTATAAATTGAGTTGGCTAAACTTTTAATGTGAATCCTATAATGAGCATTTGCCATTTAATTCTTATACATTTTCTTCAGTGCCCGCAATAGAAAGTAGTACAGGTCACCTCACTTAGACAGTAGCTGAAGTACTTAGCATATCCCCGCGCTAGAATCCCTGTCTTTTTACACCACATTGTGTAATTCCCATAAAGGGCATTTTTATGACAATATTTGTATATCTCTTTGCCAAAGATGTGATATGAATGTGTGTTTGGCTTGCTGGAATGGAAATTAAGAGACTCGGAACAAAGGAGACTTTGTGGTCTGGAACTGTGAAGTCAGGAACATTTCGCTATCAGCCCTTTGTGCTGCAACATGAAGTTCAAATATTGCAGTCAGGTTGGAGAGACAAGATCTTAGATGTATTTAGAGAGAGACAAGACCCATGTGCTTCTAGGTCATTATAAGCATAGTATCTCTGGAGCTGTTTCTCTCTCAAAAGTAAGGGTAAAATGTAGACAAATGAAATAACATTTGTGAAGAGGTCACTGCCTAGCCTTTTGTTCTGTCCTTGGTCTAACAGTGCATGATTTGTTCACATGGTAGTAGTGTCTCAGCAGTAACACTCATGGTGTGTACTTCTTGTCTTAAGAATGGACAGGGTTGGGAGGAACAGAGTAGTTAAGAAAGTATCAGGTCAGCCTGGCAAACACAAGACCCTGGGTTCAGTTCAGTTCCCAGGTGGTCGGATGGGAAGCAGAGGTTTCATGGAAGACTGCAGACCTAGTGAGCTTTACAGGATAATTATACTTCAGATATGTGAACAATAGGGAGAGCTCAGGCAGGGAGTGTAGTTGGAAAGATGAGAATGTATAAATACAACTGATTTTTCTTTTTTGTGAATAGATAAATACATACATAAGTGTAGAAGTAAGGATTTGTCCTCTTAGGCCATTTGCAAAGAGATTTAGTGTATAACTGTAAAGCTCCCATAACCCAGGAAAACAACACACTTATTCCCTTATAAATAATTTAAATATTTTTAAGTTAGACACGTGAACTCTCATTAGTTAATATCAAGGTATTTCTCTAAGCTAGTGCTTAGGGGCTGGAGAGATGGCTCAGTCAGCAAAACACTTGCTTTGCAAGGTAGAGACCTGGGTTTGATCTCCAAACCCCACTTTAAAAAGGCAGGTATGGTGTAGGATACTTGTGACCCCAACTCTGAGGAGGCAGATTTCTGTGCCTCACTAGCCAGTCAGCGGAGCTTTTGTCTTGCACATGAACATACATGCATGTAAACAAAAATAGGGTTCATTATTGGATTTAAATTTATTTTAAGTATCCTTTTACTATTTCTATTTTGGGTGATTTATAAGAACTTACTGGGTTGCCATTATTCCTGACTTACAGTTGCTAAAATTAGTAAAAACTTGATCTCTGCTGTTTGATAATTAGCTTTTGCTTATTGAAAACAAAAACTGTTAAGTGCACTTACACAGACACATAGAAACTGCTTCTGTATCTTCACATACTCACGTCGCATCTACAAGCCAGGCCCATCATGAGCCTGCCTCACTGAATTGTCTGTATTGTCTGAGGGTGATATCAGGGACAGTTTTGGCTTAAGTGTGCAGACTTGCTTAGATGCTCAGCTTTTTCCTTTTAGAGACTGAAGTATAAGCAGTGTCCACCAAAGTGGTTCGGACTGCCCGCATCAGAATTACCTGGAGGTTCAGGTTTTTAAATGCAAGTTTCTGGGCACTTGCTATACCCTTTCTAGGTGACTGAAGTTGATTCTTGCTGGCCAGGGTAAAGTTTAGTGACAGTCTATGGTATGGTACTTGTGTGACAGAGCGAAAGGGGAATTAGGAATTCTAACTTTATAATGCACTGTTTTTAAAGGTAAGAGATTTGTGAGAGTTTATAGCTGGTATAGAAGTGCCCATCCTGAGACTTTTCCTGTTAGAAACCTCCACTGTTTTGGATATAGTGAATCTGAGTTTTTAATTTGAGCTTTGTTTTGTCGTTTTTTTTGAAAGGTGGAAATTAAAAGTGGAGCACACGATTATTACAATGTTCTTCCTAATAAGATACTGTGCAATGCATATATGGAGAATGGGAAGAAGCTGGGAATAGAATTCATCTCAGAAGACGCAGTATTGAATGGGCCTTCAGGTAACTAAGCTGCCATAGTGACATGTTTGAGCAAGAAAAATGCCAAATTAGGTTAAACAGTCTTAAGAGGTAAGGAAGAACTGCTGATGAGTCTGTTTCAGGCGGGGTCTTGGTGTAGCCCAGGCTGGCCTCAAACTCCATACGTAGCTGACATTGACCTTGAGCTTGACTTGACCCTTCTGCCTCTGCTTCCCAAATGCAGGGATTATAAATCCATGCTACCACATCTGGGGTTTATTAGATGCTGGGGATTGAACTCAGGCCTCCTGCATATTAAGCAAGCATGCTGCCAACCCTGATAGTTTTGAAAAATGCCTGCCTATGTATATGCATACCATCAGCTTACCTGGCACCCTTGAAGGCCAGCAGAGGGCACTGTATTCTCTGGAACTGGAACATGGCAGTTAGGGGCTGCCATGTGGGTGTTGAAAACCAAACCTGGGTACTCTACCAAAGCAGCAAATGTTCTTAACTGCTGGGCCACCTTTCCATCTCCCTGATGATATTTTTAATGATATTCCTTCACACTTAGGTTGAAAAGAAACTAATGAACTCTTCAGTGAGTGTAGGGTGTCATAATAGCATCATTGTTTTTAAACATGGTCAGTCTGCTAGGAGTATTCTTATAGTCGGTGTTTGCTTTTGGGCTGCCAACCAATTTCCAAGTAAAGACACGGAGACTTACTATTAATTATAAATACTTGGCCTTAGCTTAGTTTATCCCACCAGCTCTCTTAATTTAACCTGTCTCTGTTCATCTGTGTTTTGCCTAGGGCTTTTAAACCTTTTCTTCATTCTGTATGTCCTACTTTCCTGCTTCCCCCATGTCTGTCTGTCTGGCCCCTGGTGTCTCTTTTTCTTTTTTCCCAGAGCCTAAATTTCTCTTCCTACTTACTCTCCTTTCCCAGAAATCTCACCTATACCTCCTCCCTCACTATTGGCCATTTCAGATTTTTATTAGACCAATCAGGTAACTTAGACAGGCAAGGTAAAACAGCAACACATCTTTAGATAGTTAAAAACAATATTCTGCAACATATCTTTACATAGTTAATCAAATATTCTGCAACATATTCTAAACATTTCTTGTGTTTAAATTTAATTCTGCATTTTTTTGTTTTGTTTTGTTTTTTCTTGTGATACTAGGGATCAAACCCAAAGCTTTAAGTATGCTAGGCAGGTGCCCTCCACTGAGCTATGCCTCCAGCTTTTACTTCTAATATTTAAATAAGATACTAAATGGGAAACAGAAGTTTATTTCATTTCAGTTCATCACAGTAAGCAGGCTTTTAAGTATTTAGTGATCTAGTGCATTTTCTGATTCTACAAGTTATTTATATTTGATGTTCATTTATTCATTGAGACCAGGTGTCTTAGTTAAGGTTTCTGTTGCTACAGTGAAGCACCACGACCCAAAAGCTGAGGAGGAAAGTTGGTCTTAGGGTTTTTATTGCTGTGAAAAGACACCAACTTTTATAAGGAAAACATTTAATTCAGGGGACTTGCTTACAGTTTCAGAGGTTCGGTCCATTATCATCATGGCGGGGATGATGGCACTGTGCAGCCAGACATGGTGCTGGAGCAGCTGAGAGTTCTACAGTGACAGACTTCCTTCAACAAGGCCACACCTCCTAATAGCCACTCCCTTTGGGGGGGCATTTTCTTTTAAACCACAAGGGTTTATTTAGTTTACACTTCCACTGTTCATCATGAGGGAAGTCTGGACAGGAACTCAAACAGGGAGCTGATGCAGAGGCCATGGAGGGATGCTGCTTACTGATTTGTTTCACATGGCTTGTTCAGCCTGCTTTCTAACAGACCCCAGGACCACCAGCCCAGGGATGGCCCCACCCACAGTGGGCTGGGCCCTCCCCAACTAGTCATTAATTGAGAAAATGACTTACATTTGGATCTCATGGAGGCATTTCTTCAGCTGAAGCTCCTTCCTCTGTGGTGACTCTAGTATATGTCAGGTTGACACATAAAACCATGTCTTACTGTATATTGTCTAGGCTGGCCTTTGCCTTGTGGTCCTCCTACTTGAGGCTTTTGGTTTCTGGGATTACAGGTATATGCCACCACACCTAGCTTTTTAGAGCGTTGCATGTGTGAATCATGTATGTGCACTATGTGCATGTAGGATCCCTCGGGGGTCAGAAGAGGTCATCAGATCCCCTGGAACTAAAGTAACAGGTAATTGTGAGCTGCTGTGTGGGTGCTGGGAATTAAATCCCAGGTCTTCTGCAAGAGCAGTAAGCAATCTTATGTGCTTAGCCATCTCTCTGTCCCCTATTTTTAAAGTTTTATTATTGTGTGTATGTGAGTGCATGACGCATGTGTGTGATTGTGCATGCCACAGCATGTGTGTGAAGGTCTGTGGATAACTTTGTAGGGTATTCTTCCTTTCATGTTCCATGTGGGTTCCAAAGATCAAAGTCAGCTCATCAGGCCTGTGCAGCAAGGGCTGTTATCTCTGCATTATCCTGCTGGCCCTTAGTTGATGTTATTTTAGGTTCTTTCCTCTTTTAAGCACACTACTAATAATATTTGAATATAATGAGATGTTGACTCATCACCATGAAGACTTGGTGATAAAAATGAGTGTCATTGTCATCACTAACACGAGCACTTCTGGAATCATATGGGCTATAGTAAATTATTAGGGTGTAAAATTGAACTACTTGTAGGATTTCAATGTGGAACTGTTCAGTAGCCTGAATTTGAGTTTAGAGCCCTCCCCCAAAATGTCTAGGCTGGAGGTTTAGGGTTTGCTGATGTGTGGGAGTTGAATGACGAAGGCACAGATTTTTAATACAGTTATCCAAATATATAGAGAAGACAGAAATTAAACACTGAAACCAACATTCAGGGGGAGATAGACAAAGCAAGGAGAGAAAGCTAGATAAAGTGAAGACAGCAGATGCTATAGAAGTAGAGTAAGTATTGTTCTGTGTTGGTTGAACCAGATGTGGGCTCTTATGGCTCTACCCACTCTTCTGGTGAGACAGAACAGATAGCCAAAACACAAATAAATAAATAAATATTTTATGAAAGTTAGTTTAAGCAGCTGAGCATAGTAGCTCATGCCTTTAATTCGGCACTTGGCAGGCGGAGGTAGGAGGATCTCTGTGAATGCAAGGCCAGCCTAGTCTACATAGTGAGATAGTGAGTTTCAGGACAGCCAGAGCTACATAGTGAGACCCTGTCTTGGGAAAAAAGGGAGGAGGAAGAGGAGAAGAGGAAGAAGAAAGTTAACTTTAATTGAAAACAAAGAGTGGATGCAAACAGAAAAGAAAAGATTTTTATAAGAAAACTCCAGATAAGTAGATGCAGCAAGCTTCAGAAAAGACAGTAAAAGTTCAGAGGCCCCCCTCTGTTGGAAATGGTTGGCACAAGGATTGTGGTGGAAAGCTAGAGGGTTAAAGAATTGAGTGCTGGCTTCTGCATCACACAGACTAAAAATGTAAAAGACATTAGCCAAATAACTCAATTAAGTAGTAAACTAAAACTGAAAAGTGGTATTGTGATTATTGTACATACTGTAAAACCCTCCAGTAGAGAAATTGGCCTTACCAGGGAAGTGGAAAAGGCTGGCATAGGGAATGATAGATGATAAGGTAATAGCAGGACTGGGAATGTAGCTCATTTGGTAGAATGCTTGCCTAGCATGCATCAAGTCCTGGTTTCTACCCTGGGATTGTATAAACCAAACATAATGGCATCTGGTGTAATTCGGTGCTTGGGAGAGAGAGGCAGGAGGATCAGAAGCTAAAGGTCATCCTTAGCTACATACTGAGTTTGAGGTAACCCATGACCACGTGATACCTTGTCCCGAAAAAGAAATAGAAATTTAAAAACACATGAAGAGTACATGCAGAAATCCTGCGGTGAGCAGAGCATGGTGGCTGTTCAGAGCAGCTGTAGAGGCTTGGTGGGACTGTTGGCATGAGATCAGCTTAGAAAGGTGAGTGGTGTCAGATATGATTCTGCTGGAGACTGTTCCTAATGGGCTCAGGCAGAAGCAGGTATTGGTGATGGAGAACACATGAGCCATTTGGGAGGTGTTGTTAGCAGGTGACATGTAACAGGACATGATGATAATGAATCTCTAGCTATGTTGAGCGGTGATCTACTGTAAGACACCCATGGAAGAACTATCAGGTGGGCAATAAGATGTGTAAGCAAGAGGGTTGGAGGTGAACTGAGAATGCATGATGAGGCAGTAAATAGGGAAGAGTCTGAGGATATGGTGTGAGAAGAGGAAAGGACTGGCATCAAGTCTCAAGGAACCAATCTTCCACAGACAGAAGAGGGTCTGTAGCCTCAGACAGGAGGAATCATCGGAGTTCACAGTGGGGCACTAGTGGGGCAGGTTTTGTGGCTGGGCAAGGACCGGTGCAGAGATCCCTTTGGGAGAACAGCTTGGCCATGGTGGAGATGGGAGTGAGTGTGAGAACCAGCAGACAGCTCTCCCTGTCCTAACAGGCCTGAGAGCCATGACCCAGTACAGGACTCTGGTTATAACTTCATCATTCAGAATGTTTAACCAAACATCCTTTTCTTCCTTCTTTGTTTCAAGGCTCTACTGATTTTGGAAATGTTAGTTTTGTGGTTCCTGGGATTCACCCGTATTTTTACATTGGGACTGATGCCTTGAATCACACGGAACAGTACACAGAAGCTGCAGGTGAGCACTGCCTACTGGGTGCTGCTTTTCAGCCTGTTATTCTCCACCATTGCTTTAGGAAATACTGTCTTGTGCTCAGAAGTAGAGAGGCAGTTTAGAGAGGTAACCCGGGGAATTAATTAATGCATTTTAATACATATAGAGGTATTTTAATTTGTTTTCTTTACCTTTCAGGATCACAAGAAGCTCAATTGTACACCTTGCGTACAGCCAAAGCTCTGGCAATGACTGCACTAGATGTCATCTTTAAGCCCGAGTTGCTGGAAGGTATCAGAGAGGAGTTTAAATCGAAGCTTCAAGAAGAACAGCTTTTAAATACACCAGCATAGAAGGAGGACTTGGAAACTGCTCAGGAAGCACTAAGTTTTGATGTTTGCTTTTCCCTCTTTAACTGTTTGAATACAACAGGGTATAGGGAAGACACTAATGGTGTTTCAGGCATTGATATGTGATGACATTTCTTAAGCTAGAAGGTATGTGATTCTCTGCCATGGTAAGGTAATGTTTTCTAAGTGTGTCTTTTGTATAGTTTTACAAGTTCCACAGGTTTCAAAATTTAACACTCATGGACTCTGTGTTCAGAGTAGTGGGTGTCTTCTCAGCAGTTTAAAGTTGGGGGGTTAAGTCTAACTGGATCTGCTTTGGTCTAGGGAGAAACTTAACCATAGGCTTGTGGGACACACCTAGAACACCCGGTACAAAGAATTAGCTTTACCTTTAACCTTAAAAACAAAACAAAACAAAGCAAAAGAATGTTCTTTATTTTCATGTAATTATTCCAAGAAGTGGCATAGCAGCAGTATAACAGTTAATAACAGAAAAAGTGACAAAAAGGCAGGATTGGGCTTTTCCAGTAGGGTAGGCTGTTGAGTGGTACCCAGCATGTTACAAGAGCTGGGAGAGGAATACAGGCTGGGTGTGCCCTGTCCTCCAGTGTCCTGCACTGGATCCCACCACCCAGCAGCCTGCTGCCCTCCCTGCAGAAGCCTTCCTAAGCCCCTGCTGGCCCAGTAGTGCGGCCTCTGTGTCCTCATGCTGTGGCTTAATTAAGTTTCTAGCCTTTTCTCTGGACCTTCTCTTTTGCCTTCCCAACGCACTTTCTGTCTTTGTGTCACCAGAGCATTTGTAGAAGTACAAAAAAGAATTCTTATTATGAGAAAGCCAGGATTTTACCTAGAAATTTGAAACATCTCAGTGGTTGTCAATTAAATCACTGTCAACAATAACCCTGGAAAAGATAGGGAGAGAGTCGCAGAAAATCAACATTTTCTCATGATTCTTACTTGGGCATGCGTTTCCTTTTGGTAGGACTGAGTCTCAGACAAGTTATCCTTTTGCTCCCCCATCTTCCCTTTCCAGCTGCAGTCCCAGTGCCGCTGCCTCTCCAGTGCTGGGGTTGTAGGCATGAGCATGGCACACCGCCATGGAGGGGGACCTTTTTGCACATGATAAAAGAGTGTGAAAAGGCTGGTAAGGCAGACTCTTGGGCACTAGTGTACTTTATTGTAAATCCCTCAGAGCTGGGGAAGCTCTCTAGAAATGGAAGTGGAAGGAGACAACTCCCTGAGCGCTCTCACTTGGCAGGTCAATCTCCTGCAGTCCTTCCTGCTTGATGGGTAGTTTGAGGGTTAGTGCCTGGGAAGTGTTTCTGCTATACCCTGATTTGATCTGGAGCTAATGTTTGCTTGCTTACTTGCTTTTGTGAAGCTAGTATACTAAGAATACTTTTTTTCATTTTTAGAGTTAAAAAAAAAAAAAAACCAACCCACTACCACAAAACAAAGTATTTGCTGTCTGGCCCTCCACAAAACAAACACACTTGGCAGCATACTCAATTGGACTGTTTCTTATTTCCATCCTCTCGGATGTTCTAGGTAAAACTTCAAGCCTTGTATTGAAAACACTTGAGAGTGTAGATGGGACTCCTTGAAGTAGTGATCTGGATTGATCTACTCTAAGTTTTGTCCTTCTAAACAGAAGCCTAGTACTGCTCCCCTCATCCTGTCCCAGTAAGTCCTCAGACTCTACTCTGCCCACCACCAGCCTTTCATCTGCTCAGAGCGGCATTGAGAACTCACTCCTTCATGACACCCTTTGTCTGGATATTCACACTGAGCTAATCATATTTGGTATCATTTCATATAAAGAGGAGTATCCATGAAAGCTGCGGTCAAAGAATAAGATGTGGTTTATATGAAGTTTATCTCCTCGGTAAAAGGTTTACAAAGTACCTCACATCCTAAGGAACAGGTTTTCTTCTAGTTGGTTTGATTTTGGTTATTGTAGTGCTGGATACTGAGACCAGGGCTTTGCTCATGCAAGACAGGAGCTGATCTGCATACCCACCCAGCCCAGGAGAGGGCATTGATCTCACACCCTAAGACCTTGACAAAATTAGAGAACAGCGGTTATTAGTAATATACCCATCCTCTGCAGATTGTCACAGCTGTGTGTTCTGTATTTGATTTACCTTTTTAAAAGTAAGATTGAATTTACTCACGTATAAGCAATGTCACTTTTAGCTAAGGAAGGGAAGACTCTGGTTTTTCTTTCTATTTGTTTCTTGGAGAGGTTGCTGTTGTTTTACATAGGGCCTTGCTTGCTGCCTTGACCAGACTGGCCTCAAACTCTCTAGCCCAGCCTGAGCAGCTGGACAGAGGGGTGTGCCATTGGGCACAGCTTAAGCTCTTTGTTCTCAAGAGATGAATGCTTGATTTTAGAAAGTTGATGACACTTAAATGTGGAGTGTTGTGGTTTTGTTTTTATTTTTTTTTAAGAATGCAATCAGGTTTTCTCCTGGTGTTAATTTGATGATACTTAATCATTTAATAGAGTCTATAATTAATGTATTTTTATACTAGATTCTATATTTGAAGTCAGTGTCTGTGAGGTGTTTGAAACTTTTCATAACTGGCATAGCTGCTAATTTTTGGATCGACTGCCTACTTCCTTGGAATCACCTAGGGTCAGCCAGCTTTCTTTAGACCTCTGCAGTCTAATGACACAGCTTAGGATATTGTGTTTAGGTGTGTGAGATGTTAGTATTTTCAGGTAAGCAGTTTCTGCTATCATGATTGTAATAATTTTTAATAGATGCATGTATAATTTTTAATAGATGCATATTAAAGTTTATGGAAAACTATAAAAGATCTATCTTTAATAGCAGTTATTTTTAATGACATACATGTATCAAAATAGAGATTTCTTAAAAATAAAGCATAAACACCCAAATACAAGGTTATATACTATTTTCTTATTCATAGGATTGTGGAGTTGGTTTCTTTCTCATCTATGTTAATATTTATATAATACGAATTTTAAGGCTAAGTCCTTTGTTTAAAAATGAGTGTTTAGGCTGGACATAGTAGTCATGCCTTTATTCCCAACAAAGAGGAGGCAGAGGCAGGTGGCTCTCTGTAAACTTGAGACCAGCCTGACCTACATAGTGAATTCCTGGACAGCCAGGGCTACAAAGTGAGATCCTGAAAAAAACAAAAACAAAACAATAAACCAAACTAAAGTTGGAATGGGCGACTAGTGCATCAGTGTGTCACACAGGCAGTCCACCATTGTAGATGGAAGATTTTGTTACTGGGTTGGTGGCTAACTTTCATGTCTGGTAGTGTGCATTCAGAGTTCTCCTTGGTCAGTAGGGGCGTAGTCTCCAGTTAAGCACCACTTGGCTTTCTGTGTTCAATGAGACATGTAAGCAAAGCACAGATTTCTTACTCTAAGATGACAGTAAAGGTGTTACAACTTAAAGGGCTTATTAGAGTTCATATCTGGTGTGTCCTCCAAAGGCAATATATTGAGAGCTTGGTCTACACTGGGGTGAGGTGGTGAAATATCACTTTCTACCTATGACGCTTGCCAAAGAATTGAAGTTGAGTTCAAGATTCAGCAAAATCAAGGGACTTAAGGTCCAAGGTGTCTTTACTGGCATTCTGTGGGGTTTTATTTTAGATAGTTCAAAGCTCGAAGCAGAAACTGTGAAAACATACAGACTTTGTCAACACTATCCCCAGATGTGCTCAGAGACAAGTGATGGGAGATGTCTTGTATGCTGTGAATATATATTTCTTTTACTGGCTTATGAATAAATGCTGATTGACCATTAGCCAAGCAGGAAGTATAGTTGGGACTACCAGACTAGGAGAATTCTGGATAGAGGAAGGCAGAGAGGAGCCGCCAGAGAGATGCCATGTAGATTCCAAGAAGATAGGATGTTGGGCATTCTTTAGTAAGGCCATGTAGAAATACATAGATTAATAGTAATGGGTTAATAAGAGAGAGCTAGCCAGTAAGAAGCCTGAGCCATTGGCCAAACAGTTTATAATTAATATAAGCCTCTGTGTCTTTATTTGAGAATAAGGGGCTATAGGACCAGGTGGGACAGAAACTCTATCTACAGACAAGATCTCAGAGCCGAATGGAGGCTGCTTGCATAATGCCCTTGAACATGTAAGAAGCAGGCAACACAGCTGAGGGGCAGGAGGAAACGTTTTACCTGACACATTCCTTGGGCAGGTGGAGACAATTCTCTCAGGGAAGTAAAGAAAATCCTGTGGTAATAGAGTTAACACGTCAGGGTATGAAGGAACGTCTATTATATATAGGCCACAGTGGATTCTTTATATTTAAGGCCCAAGTGGAGTAAGTTAGGTTACCAGGATCATGTACTTGAAGGGACATTGGAATCTTAGCCCTTCTTCTGCTTGTCTCTGCTTCCCAGATGCCATGAGTACAGAGGGACTGTGTGCTTGTCATGATAAGCCATGCTGCTATAGTCCCAAAGAGAAAAGGCCAAACCACTGTGTCAGAAACTGTTGACCAAAATAAGCTGTTCTCTTATCGATTATCCTCAGATATTTTACCAAGGTGACAGCATATTTAAAAAAGGAGTGATACACAACCATAAAGGATAAAATGTCTCTTACTCTTTCTGTCTGTCTGTCTGTCTGTCTGTCTGTCTGTCTCTCTCTCTCTCTCTCTCTCTCTCGTGTGTGTGTGTGTGTGTGTGTGTGTGTGTGTGTGTGTGTGTGTCTGTGTCCATGCACATCTGTGGAGGTCAGCAGAGGGTGTGAGACAGTCTGTTTTATCAGCTTCATCCCCTTGAGACAGGGTCTTTCACTGAACTCAGAGCAAGGTTGTGGTCAACAAGCACCAGCAACCTCCTGTTCCTGCTCCCACAGTGCTGGAGTTACAGGTGTAAGCATGTGACCATACCTGGCCCTTTATGTGGGTGCTGGGGATTTGAACTCAGATCCATACATTTATATAGCAAGTTTTCTTACCTACTGGTACATTCCCCCAGTCCCCTGAATTTTTTTATGTCTGAAGTATCCCTTTGGGTCCTGGTCATTAAAAAAAAAAAAAAAAAGTACACATATTTGTGACTGCATGTGTGCCATAGCACACATTGTGTGACACACTTTTCCTGGGGGGATGCAAACAAACATTATTCACCCCAGATAGAGAGCCGATGACAGACCAAAGAAAGGATACCATCAAAGTCTGGTTGGTGAACTGATGAGTTTTATCAGTCACTTTTGAGCAGAAATGACTCAAAGACAGCTGCGTCACTCAAAGCCTGTACCAGCATGGGTGACAGCTCACAAAGCTGGGAACCTGGAGTGCACTGCACAGCCTGGAGAGTGTCTTCCAGGCAGCGGGTCTGGTCTCTACTTCTCTGATGCAGCTTGGCTGGTCTGAGCCTCTTCCTGGCAGCTTGTCTGAGGATCAAGGCAGCTCAGCTTATCTTGTAGGCAGATCCTATCTCTTTCAGGTGGTGCTGTTAGCATTTACTTGTGCTTGGGGAAGAAGGCGCCTTGTGTATCCTGTCAGTTTCACTGACTTCCTGTATAAAAGTTGAGTTGTTGATTTTGTGATCTTAACTAGCATCTCTGCAGGTTGGAATGTTTTAACTCTCTTTAGAACATCCTATGTCTTAATAATGGCTTCCCTCTAAGAGGGACAGGAAACAGCTACACAACATGTAGGGATCAGAGGACAACTTTCCAGGAGTTGCTTCTCTCCTACCTTGTTGTGGAAGGCTTTTTCCTTGTTTCTGCCACTTTTGTCCTCCAACCTAGCTGACCCACAAGCTTCCTGGTGATTCTCTGCCCCCTAGTGCAGCCCCACCTTTGAAATTTTG